ATAGCAGCAAGACTGGAGCCGGAGCAGAATATATTTCACACTCACCCTACCCTCTTCCCGGGAGGCTCACTTACACTCAGTCTCTCCTCGAGCTCGGGAAACTGTGTGTGTTGCCAAGACTTTGTCCAGGGGACCTGAACAGGGAAGCTGAGTCTCCATCCACCTATTAATTCCTCTTCATACCTGGACCATCTTTATTTATACCTGTAGGTTGGCATAAAGGGTGTGGCCCCTTTACTAGATGCAAGGTAATGCAGCCCCAAATTACTCAAAAACCAGGATAAGACACTTAAATTGGTTAATAAGATAACTAATACTTTCATTTGTTCATTTGTTACAAAAAAAATCACATCCTGCTTTTACTGAGCTCTTTTTATGTGCGAGACACTATGCTATACATTCTTTGAAGTAAAACTATGTAGGTCATGGTTTCTGCCCTTCAGAAACTTCTAGAATTCTAAGTAAAATCTGAAGTACACACTGTAGTGAGCATAGCATGTGACCTGCCCCAGAGGAGAGATACAAACAAAGTGCTCTAGGAACCCCGATGAGAGAGAAATGCTTTCTAATGTAGGATCCTGGGAAAAGTTTCCTCAAAAGGTGTCATTCTGGAGTCATGACAGGAAGATAGTGTAGAAATAGTGTGATGGGAAATAATTTTGGTCCACAGTCAGAGGATCTGGTTCTTAATCTGGTTCTACACCTAGATTAAGACCTTAAGACACTCTTTTAAAGACACTTGACTTCATAAAATTGTCTTTATTCCTCAGTTTATTATTCCATAAAACAGGGTAATAGCAATTCCCTTTTCCACATCACATCATTAATGTTAGTTTCAAAAGTAATATGAAAGCAGTTCTAAAGCTGCTCAGTAATTAGTACACAAATGTAAAATCCTACCTGTGTTGGAATATGAACCACAGACATCATGTGATCGGAAGAAACGGCGTGAGAGGGCTTTCCGTGCAGAGACTGGCACAAGAGAATGCAGCATGGTGACAGCAGAAGGTGAGACGGGACCTCTGAGGTATGACAACCGCTGTGACCTGGGTCCACTGTCTTGGACTTCAGGAAGCACTCAGTCATTTGACGAGCATTTGTGAAGTGTGTACCGTGTGCCAAGAACAGTGTGAAATGATAGTCCCTTCTGTGGGTCAAGTTGTCCACAAGAGAGTCCACAGACTCTCTGGTCTTAGCTGTGCCTCAGTAACCACAAAATTGAGAATCAAGTGCTTGAAGTTTTGTAAGAATAAAGGCCCAGGAGATACACTTGGGTCTCTGTGAGTAACGAAAGGTGGAGGAAGGGTGTGAAAAAAATGAGAAGTTCTAGAGATCTTAGATCTTAGAGAAAGTCCTAAAGATCATAAAGGAAAACTTCAGGCCGTATCATCTATTGTAACCTGTTATTTAAAGAAATAAGTAAGATGTGATTTGTTCTAAATAGTGATTTGTTCTAAATAGGATGTAAAACTTTTTCCAAATTACTCTTCTTCAGTCCTGCCTGCTAAGAATGCAAATGTAACTGTGATATAACCACCCTTCCTAGGTACCTTGGCAGGTGTGTGTGTGATCTCAGAATGCACAAGTGACATAGATGTGATGTGACAACTGGAGTGGTAGAGTCATTTATATTGTTTACACTTCTCTGACCAGACCTTAAGGGAAGATCAGTTTTTTAAAAAAATCAAGTACAATAGTGTCTTTCTTTCTCCAAATACATGTCAAAAGAAGAAGAGTGTTCGTAACTGAGCTTTGTTTTTGCTCAGTAATAAAGTCAAACAAGACTCTTGTTTCCAAGTGACCCACTGAGCCATGTACGCATTTCTGTTTATTTCAAATAAAATATGCTTGCATTATTTATCATTTATTCTATCCATCCATATCATGCTTCTTTCTGGATTAGGTAGTCCAGTAAAAAAACATACCTGTTCTTTAAAAAAAGAATAAAGTAGCTGGAATTTGATGGAGAAGGATGGACTTAGCCCTTCCCATGCTACTCATCCATGTTCTTTGTCTGAAGGCATATGGTGAGCTGGCACTATTCTGGAAAGCCTGGACCGCTGGTCTGCATGAAATGAGACTATGGATCATGAAAATCAGGAAATGACTCTAAGAGAAAATGAAAACACTTGTGCTATAAACCCTCTCTCTTCTCTGCAATTCATGCAGCTGTCCACTCAGGCTTGCCTGCCCCAAACGGTGCCATCTGAAAGGGCTGGTATCATTGGTCAGGGTTGCTAAATATATAAAGCAATAACAATGTGTGAATTATACTTTATTTTAACTCTTCCTTATCAGTCGGCTAAATTAAAACAGCATCAATGCCTGAATTCCACGAGGATTAAAAATACAGAAGATTTTGGAAAAGTCAATCTGAAGTCACTGAAATGAATTGAATTCTATTATTTAGTATAAAAAGAATGGCAATATCATTCTTTATAAAATAAACTTTTTATTTTGGAATAACATGGCATTTATGGAAAAGTTTTAACAAGAGAGTTCTCATATTCTCTTCCCCAGTTTGTTTCTCCTAATATTACTGTTGTAGTAGCGTTTTAATTTGTTTGTAATGGCACCTTACGTTACTGTGTACACTTTCACAACTAAGAAAGCAAAACTGGTCCGTAATTGTTACCTAAACTCAAGGTTTTATTCAGATCTTACCAGGTTTTCCATATCCTTTTTATGTCCCAGGGTCCAATCTAAGATACCACATTCCATTTAGGTATCTTGTTTCTTAGTCCCCTGGATCTGACAATTTCTTAGTCTTTACTTGTATTTTACAATTGTTAAAATTGTTTGTTTTTTTAATGAGGCAGGATGGGGTTTTCAATACTACAGAAGAATATTATTTTGTTTTAAATGCTCTTTTCCAGAATGGTTTTTGGATATTTTCTGAGTCTGTTCAGTATAAAATGTTAGGAAATAGGAAAAGATACTGGATTATTAAGTTCAAGTCAAAAAAAAGTTAATCACAATCTAAAATTCATCTGCACGAGGTTGTAGTGGGCAAAAAAATATAATAAAAACCAAAAGGGAAATTAAGATCATATTGTAAAGAAACTTGAAGGGCAGACTAAGAAACTCGGAGTTTATTCAAAGGTGGTGGGAATCCGTAGATATTTTTGAGCACAGAAGCTGTCCACGTTGGTCTTCACTTGCTCTGAGGACGTTAGTTGCCTCTGGCTACTGGGTATCTCTCGTATCTGAAAGACACCACCTGGATCTAGTACTCCTATTTCCTGTAGTGATGGAGACTGGTGACCTCCCCCAGACACTACCCTGGCAAAAGGGAATGACAAAATGGTTGCATTACCTATGCAATATTTTGAAAGATTGGCAGACCATAAGGATGATTTGAAACAAACCAGTCAAATGTAATAAAGATAGCATAAAGTCCTCTCTCTAAGTTTATGGAAAAATTAAATACTTCAATGGAGGATGATGAATACTTAATCTGATCATTACTTTAAAAAATCTTAGGGTTTGTAATTTCAAACTCAGTATAAGCCATGAGGATCATGTGACCATGAAAATGCCATCCACATGTCAGTCCCACCAGAGTTCACACTGACTCAAACATATTCTGATTTTTGTTGTTGAAAGACAAATATGTGCAGGATACCATACTAAACACTTTTCCAGTGCCTGAAGTATTTGGTTTCAAATTTTGAAGTCAGAATTCGAGGTGTTTTTCAAACCCTCCCAAAATAATGCATCTTATTGTAAAAAGCTTGCAAAACAAAGGAAAGCACAATGAAGGAAATCGACACCATGTTTTCACTTCCCGCTAACTGGAGGTAATCGATAAGGAGGTTCATAAAATAGTTACAATAGTGATGCCCAGAGGAGGACACACCCATCCCAGTCCAATACCCCATTTCAGACACTTACTCTATGGGGACAGTTGGGGGATAGATTTCTGATGAACTCTGAAATGTATAAATTATAGTACCAAAATACTTATAAGCTTATGTAATTCTCTTGGCACAGATAGATAAGAATGTTACAGTAGAATTTTTAATAAGTAGGGACGACCTAATAATGCCCAATATCCATGCTAGTAGCCTTTCATATACTTTTTCTTTATATTGAAGTTATAGTTGATTTACAGTATTATGTTAGTTTCTGGTGTACAGCATAGTGATTCAGTATTTTTATAGACTTTATAGCCTTTCGTGCACGTCATTAAGCTGCAGACAACTAAGGAAAGACAGGCTGCAACAGCGGAAAGCTGCCACATCTGCATGTAGCCTGTTCTGGTCTTGGGTGATTATAAGGAGCTAAATTCCCATAAATCATACTGCCCTCTAACCATCTCTTTGTCCAGATGAAAAAAGTTGTGTACTTAATTGGCTAAGAAATGTTTATTTAAATAAATATGCTGGTAACAATACCTTTGCCACAGAATGCAGTTTATAATAGCAAGGAGTTCAATGCATAATTAGTGCTCTAATATTTTAGTCAAATTCCTTCTAGTCTTATTTAAACAAATAAACAGATAAATAAGACATACTTTTAATACTATTACATAACTTAATCTTTTCATTTATTATATCAGGATATTTTTTCTCTAATTAACTCTATTTAGATCATGTTATTTAAATGTCTCCATTGTATTCCATTTAATGTATAGGCTATAAGTTATTTAACTGTGGAAGTGTATCATATTTCCATGTTTTTGTTATTACAAATAAGAATGTGTGGCAACACAAATATTTCTGCATCAGGATGTTTTCAGTATTTTCAGCATTTGTGATATACATTGCCAAATTTCCTTCCAAAAAGGCTGAGCCATTTTCTACTGCCCCATACCCTAGCAAAGTATGAGGGGTTTAATTCCTGAATCTGCCAGTCCTACCTTTGGGTGTGTCACACATGCCTGGCCTCCATGGCTTCAAATTATATTCATTTAATATATCTCTTTTTAGCTACTGTGTGCTGGATACTGTTCTGGGCCATGGTAATAAAATGACGAACAAGCCAATGTGATGCCTGACTCCATGGAGCTTAGAGTCTAATTAGGGAAACTGAGGATCAAATAAACAACTGTACTCAGCCACTAGTTCAGGGTGGGCACTGACCTTGGTAAATCAGGAAATGAAGCAAGAAACCCCTGTGGTCCAGGAGGTGATACGTTGCCAATACAAAAATGTGCAGTGTCCTATCTCCTTGTCTTGCAATTCACACTAGAATGATCATCTGGGGCCCTCTACCTCCTAGGCTACCACTGGTGTCTTGTGTCTGGAAGAGATCTCATCTGGAAGTCTTCTGATGTTCTTCCATAATGAAGCCTCTGCTTCCTTGAATGGCTTCCTCCTTCCATTTCCCTTTTCTATACCTTCTGCCTCAGAACTAAACCCCAGGAACAAAGCCAGGAATTGCCACTTAGATGCATTTTGCATTTTCTTTGCTTTAATTACTGGTGTTCAGTCACGTCTTGTGCTCAGAGTCATCCCTCTCCACCTCCCGAGGATGCATGATTCGTGAACCTGCTCTACATAAATTACAATAGAGCAGACAACACAGAATCAGCTTCTAGCCTATACGTTACAACCTTATCTTGAAGAAATCTAACTTTTAGCTTGTAATCCACCCCTCTTCCTCATCCTCAACAGGTTCTTTGGTGGTGCCTTTGAAACTCTAGTCCTTAATTTAGACTCTAAGAGATCTCTGGACTTCATAGAAGACATAGACAGTAAGTTTTAGAGCATTTTCTAAGATTTAACACCTCCCTTCTACCCAACTCTGCTAGCTTTCCCAGGCTTAGCATCCTGGGGCTGGTACAGGTGCAGAGTTCGATGTAAGGCTCTCTTTACCTCTTGGTTGCGCAAGCAGTAAATGATGGGATTGAGCAGTGGTACAATGACAGCATAGAGTACAGACACCAGCTTGTTGGTGTCAAAAGCTGAGAGTGCTTTTGGGCGGGCGTAGATGAAGATACTGGCTGCATAAAAGATGACCACGACAGTGAGGTGAGAGGCACAGGTGGAAAAGGCTTTATGGCGCCCAGCAGCCGAGGGAATGCGCATCACAGCACCAGTGATGGCCACGTAGGAGGCTCCAGTGACAGAGAGGGGCCCCAG